TGAACTGTCGGACTCAACGGCTTACCTTAAAGTACTAACGGTTTCAAATTTAAATTCCACCCGCGCTTTTCTTCTTTTTCATTTGTGGACACTTTTTTAAATAAAAAATATATATATATTTTCATTTAACGTTAAAATTAAGTATGAAATGAATGAAAAAACGCATTAAATTTTTGTGTAGTTTTAATTTTACTTTAAAAGTGAAATTTCTATTAGATTATGGATTAATGGATGGATTAAATAAGTTAAAAATTAATTTATTTTAAATAATTTCTGTATTTTAACAAAAATGTACCGTCAATAATAAACAAATAAACTTAAAATATGTATTTTAAAGTCCACTAAAAAAATTGCTGCCACGTTGTGAGATGCCATTTATATCTCCGGCAAGGTGGGGAAGAAGCCCCAACAAATTGGGGATCTTCTTAGTTAGTGGAGGATCAATGAAAAAGATTAGGTCTCTCTTGTTTTTATTTTATAATTTACTACCTGTGTTTAAAAAAATAAGTGAAAATACATAATAATGAGAAAATTTTCACCATAAACAAAAATACGTAATAATTTACTACTTGTCTTTTTAAATGCCAAAAATAAAAGACGAAAATAGTAAATGCATGGGAAGTTGAATGAATTATTAAAAATAATAATAATAATAAAATATCCACTAGAAAGAAACAAAATAATGGGGTGTTGCGAGAATCGAACTCACGACCTCTCGCACCCGAAGCGAGAATCATACCACTAGACCAAACACCCTATGATGAAATGGTTTTAAAGTAAAATTTATTTAGAATATAATTATAAAATCAATTATTATAATTTTATAATTATATATAACGGATTATGATTGTAACTTTCATTTTGTTCGTTAAAAGTTTAATTTTGAGTTAAAAAAATATTTAATAAAAAATAGAAAATGTATATTCGTATTTTATCGTAAAAAAACTTAGTTATTGAAAACTATAGAAACAAAACAAGAAACTTAACATATTTAAAAGATAATGCTTGAGAAAACAAATAAATAAATAGAGAATTCTATTGGTAGTTGAAATGGAATTAAATTAGGGTTCTTAAGTTTCTCTCTTAATTTTGATTTTCTATTTACTGTTGAAACTAATAATAGCTAATAATAGAATAGAATTTGAATTGGTTTCAAATTCAAATAGAATAGAATTTGAATTGGTTTCAAATTCAAATTCATCCACAAAAATCTCTCAACCGACTACGGAATCACCCTAGAAAATCTCAACCAACTCTGGAATCCCCTATAAAAGGACCTCCCTCCCCATCATTCAAATCACTCCTCCTCTCAATCTCAATTCAGTTTTCTGTTGTCACCAACAACTGGTATCAGAGCAATCTTGCAGCAGCAAAAATGGCAGCAAAAAAACAAGTTGAGAACTACGTTCAGCCGGCCATCCCGAGGTTCGACGGTCACTATGATCATTGGGCGATGTTGATGGAAAATTTTCTCAGATCAAAGGAGTTCTTTGATATGGTGGAAACAGGTTATGAAGAGCCAAATGAAGGCGAGGTACTCTCAGCTGATCGACA